GTTACCTAATTAGTTAGGTAAGGTATATCAAGCTCTCTCTCTCTCTCTCTCTCTCTCTCTCTCTCTCTCATGTGTGTGAATGCACGGGCTTGAGCAGAGATAAATAAATTTGCACCTGGACTTCAAATCCAGTTGAACCTCACCATAGTGGGATTTGCACCTCATGGTTGGTGACCGAGTATTGCAATACGAGTATAATTGGTAAAGAAGTGACCTTCGTATGTGCATGAAGCTCCAGAGTGAAATTTCAGAACCAGTTGGAAATTTCAAAGTCTCGGAACTTTCGAAGGTGATTCTCCATCTCTTTTCTTGTTTTAATCCACTCCTCTCTCTCTATGATAGTAGTAGGGTCGTCCCTCTCACTCTGGCAAAATGAAGGCAAGTTTTAGAGGTACAAACACATGTTTGACAATGAAAGAGAGAAGAGAGGGATTTACCGAACGAATGATTTTGAATGAGGTCCCATTGTCGCGAATAACCAGCAAGTCTTCCTTCCTATCCCTGTCTCTTCCTCCCGGAACTGTTACCTATAGCAGCAATGACCAATGTAGCATCAAAATGAGACCCCACATACTCAAGCCCCTAAACTTTATGCAAGAATATCAGGCTTTGATTTGCCCAAAAAAATATCATGCTTTGCTATGGAACTACTAATATACCTTCCAATAATTGGAAATAAGCACAGGCTACATAAATTTTACCAGTACAGAACGGTTCTAAGAACTACATAAATTTTACCACTACATGATGGTTCTAAGAATTAAAAAGATCATAAAACTACTTCAAAAGTTTCAAATTTTGCTTATAGTTGTTTTGGAGGTAGGAGCGGGCTCGAAAGCAGGATCTGTTTGGGAAACACCAAACCACCACATGGTGGAAGCTCAATGGGGTTGGGATCGATGTCCATACATTCAACAAGTTGAGAACCTAGATCCTAGGATATCAAGGAACGAGATCCCATGTCCCTAGGAGGTTTTGACTTGGAGGGATCCAAGTTCCACTATACATAAAATGAGAACAATTCCTGCTATATCCATTCACACACGTTATCATATTAGCAATGTCATAGTTATAATACTCCAATTTACTACCATAATACAATTTAATAATATCATAAATTGGCTTACTATGATATTAAACTATAGGTTTTTAGTACCATAATTCTAGTATACCACGTTGAGGAGCAATAGTTCAATACTTCATTTATAGTATAGCTACTCTCATTAAAGGGATCCTACAAGCATGCATACTGAGATCCCATTTCTTTAAATCCAGCTCCCTCTAAGATCCCTTCAAGGGACCGCAGGATCGTGTTCCTAAGGTGGGACCTTGGCCCTATCCCCAAGGTTCCCACAACTATGCTTTTGCTCCTTTCGAGAAAAGCACAAGTAAAACTGGTTATGCCTTACTATAGAACCTACCTTAAAATGCTCTAATCAATGGACGAACATGATGGTGGGAGAGTGAAAACCACTAGAACATGATATATGGCGTGAGAGGTAGATCCAAAGCTCCCTCCAACACTTTGGAAAGATCAATAAGACCCAACTTACCTGACCACTCCTCTTTTACTTCTTTTCTTTTCCCTCTTTCTTTTCCAAAAGGCGATTTATGAATGTGACTCTCTACCACATCAAAAAATCTCTCTCCCTCTCTCTC